ACCTAACCTAACTTTCCTAAACGCAAATAAACAAACTTCGCCTAACTTAATTTAACATAAATTGAACTAACCTTCTCTACACTTAAAATTGTTCACTATCTGTACTTTCCCATCGTCCTTTGTTTAAAAGAAAAGAAACCACGACGTTTCGGAAACTGGCTCTGTTTCCGTCTTCAGGCGAGAGGTACCTACTCAGCTGGATCCGCCAGATAGAGCTAGTCTCCATCGTGGTTTTTTTCTTTTGAACAAAGAACGGCGGAAAAAGTCCAGACAGTGAAAATTTTTAAGTGTAATCTACCATCGTCAGAACCCTTTAGAATTAAATGAGATAACCTGATCCACCGGTTCTTAACCTGTGGTCCGTGGACTCCTGGGGGTCCGCGATTGTTTAGAAAATTAAATAATTTTTCCGGCAGACGTAATAAAAACAAAATCTGAAATTGAAAATTTCAAAACGCTCTGTAAGAGTGTAAGAATTTGAAACTGCAATTAAAAATTAAGTTGGTACCCTTAGCTTCATTAGTAGGAGATGCGCAAGCACCAAGTGTTTTTGAGGAGAGTGACTGAGAGGCGTCGAAAATTCCAGACACTTCGAGACGTCTCCCGCCTTTTCAAGATGAGATCATCTTACGAGAAAGAGCTACCGGAACCTTTGTGCGTTAATCTGCTGAGCAGTTTGCAGTGCAAAGGGATCACTACAGAGCGTACAATAACTGTCTTTAAGTGTAGTGTGTGTAATAAAGGTCTAAGTGCTTTACTTGAACCCGATTCCATAACAGTATATTGTGAGTAAATATATTTGTGGGTATCCAAAAAAGGACGCTGGATCGCTGGCTTAAGCTTAAGCGGAAAAACACTGAAGACGTCAACAAAGGCGCACAATGCTCAAAACAAAATGATTTAATTCAAAAGAAGACTAAGTGTTGCAAATACGAGGTTGAATACTTATCGATGGGTGTTACGTTTTCAGGTTCCGAACATGAACAGAGGCAATGCGTGCTAGGTTACGAATTATTGTCAGATGAGGCCATGAAACCATCTAAATTACGAAGACACTTGGAAATTAAGCGTAAAGAACATGTTACCAAATCTAACGAATTTTTAAAAAAATAAAGATCAAGAGCTCCGACAAAGCAGGAAACTAATTAAGAAGATCCCAACGGGTTCTTGTAATGAAAATGCTGTGAAAGCTTCGTACGAAGTGTCCGTGATCATAGATGAAGCACAATTTTTAATGTCGCAAATAAGATCGAAGCAATGATCAAAAAACTAGAATTTTGGGTTCGTCGCTTAATGCTGTTTTCAACCTGAAGACCTTCCTGGAATCTGCTGATGAAGAATTATCAAACGAAGTCTTTGATTGAATATTTCACCTAGCATCTGCTAGATATGCGATGCAGATTTGCGAGTAATTTCCACCTCGATTTGAAAGTAAAAATTGGATTAAAGATTAATTTAATGCAGATATTGACAAATTAGCGATACTGACAACAGCAGAAGAAAATCGATTGACTGAAATCTCTACGGATAGTGCACTAAAACTTCAATTCGAGAAAATTCTCTGGCGAATTTTTTGGCAGTATGTACGAAAGGATTATCCCGAATTATCGAATTCCATTCCTTCCTGCCAATTTATGTGTAAAGGCTTTCTCAGTTCTTATACACCTAAACAAATAAATACATAAGCCGCTTAAGAAATGCAGAATCTGGCCTTATAATTCCAAAAAAGAAACAAATATTGACAAGCTAGTCATACAAATTAAAATTCCTATTTTTGTATATTTTTTCAATTGTGAAAAACTGAAATAACCTGAATGGACGTGACTTACCCTAACTTAACATAAACTAACGTGACCTAACATGGTTTAATCTAACCCTGAACTTCTGGCCCAAAGGATTCAAAGCTATACAAGTTACTTATCAATTCGAATAAGCCAGATGGCCTAATCAGTGAAAATGTTAAGAATAGAATATTAAAAGTGTAACTACTGGGATGTCATAGAAGCAGGCCTATTTAGAGGGGGGATAATATTTAAAAGATATTTGGTACAGAGAATATGATATTGTGGATTGGTTTCATCTGCATCAGGACAGGGACCAGTGGCGAGCTCTTGTGAAAACAGTAAGAAACATTACATGAGGGAAAAGGGGGAGATTTTTTTACTAACTGAGCATTTAAATGATGACTATGCTTCATGGATTTCGAGTAGTGATAACAAAATTTCATGCCTCATGATCACGGCAAAATTGCAATAAGAACAGGGCGACAAGGCAACTCAGATCTCACAGCGTAGCAACGCTCTACTGGCGACATAGAGCCGCGTGGTAAGTTTCTTACGTGACCTTGAAGGAGTGAACCTGGTGACGTCTGATGTAGTTACTATTCTTCAATATTGCAAATCACAAACCTGGCGTTGGCGCGAAGTATTGTGTTTAATCTTGTAAATATGCCGTAAACCGAATCTGAATTAATGAAAGCTACGCAAAAGCACAGATCACTGCATTGCGTAATTATTTGAAAGTACGCACAGACACAGGTAACTGTATACAGCTCATCTCGATGTTACAATAGAAACGTAATATCTGAAGAAACCTGGGCTTCATTAATTCGTCTTTCTTTTTGCACTCCGGACCAAGGATGATCCTGTCACCACGTCACGGCTGTTCTATTAATTATGGTGACGTCACACACCTCCCCACCACTCGCAATTTTCAGTACTTCCAAATGCGGTAAGGTGAAAGGAAAGCGTATATTCCACATTGAGTTGTGTACAGAATTCGCCTCACCTTCTCTCAGAGCCTTAATTCAGTGCAATATAATTCAAAAAGAGGGTCTTCTAGTGCTCGACACAGCAAGACCTACAGGGTTTTGTCTGTCCACGTGCGACATTCTTCGCAGAGATAATAATATTCTAGCCAAAAGTCTGAGAGAATCGACAGTGAGGGCTGGAAAGGAGTTATGCAATTAAATACAAGACTAGAAATATTTTCCAAATGTGTTCTATAATCTTCTTTCTGTCCGTTTATCTTCATCTCATCGTTAGACAACCGTAACTAGTTTTCATATTTGCAAAACAATCCATATCCAGCTCTGTCTCGTTGCTTGGTAACCAGCAACACAGGAAGTGATCACTGTGCAGTGCGAGGATGGTAAATAACGGAAAAAGATATTAAACGGTAGAACATATTTCCTGCCACGGTGGTCTAGCGGTTAGAACGCTGGCCTTGTAATCTTGGGGTCTCGGGTTCGATTCCCGGCGATGCCCGAATTTATAACTTGTGTTGGGCAAGGCCGTGGTCTAGGCAACACGGAGTTTTCCTCCGTGGCATCCCAACAATTACTCCATTCACACACAGAAGAAGGCAATGGCAAACCACTTCTGGATCATCTGCCAAGAACGTATATGAACAGATCCCAGTCCGAGGAAAGGATGGAAGGATCCTGTTCATATGGACCTGTCGTCAGACAGAACACTAAATAATAATAAAAAGAACATATTTATAGCACTGCCACAAAAACTCAATTTATTTTTTTAATACAGTTTACTTGCACTGTTTCAATTTTCCTGTCAATGGAAATACTTATTCTCGAAATTAGCACAATAAGTAAAGAAATAAATTCATTTCACTAGAGTGCAGTTTAAGATAACCCAGAGAGTCATATTCACAGGCTGGCTCAGCGCGTTGTGAACACACTGATGGGCCTTAAGAAACAACTGCTTAAGTGACGGGGTTGGACATTCCAATTCTCAAGCATCTGGTAATTAGTGTCTTAGCGTCTTATTAGTAATATGTTTTAAATTCACTCTTTTGCTTGCTTTAAGATTCCACGGCACTGGACCAAACTGCCAAAATTAAAAACAAACAGCTTTTTACTCTGTAGTTTGCATGGCGTCGTAATTCTCAGTTAGTGGCGACGGCTTCTGAACGTCACAAGGAAGTGCAGAGGCGTGCAGGCAACTGTGCACATTTTGTGCTCTGCTGGAACGACGCGCGTCACATGAGCAGGTTAGGATAGTCGAACCTCCAGGCCCGTCCTTCAAGTTAAATCTCAGAAGCTCCGAACACACTCGATGATACTCGGCAAGCTATTAGCGGTATCGGGAAATTATTGCCAAGGGAATTTAATTCTGTCATTGTATCGAAACGATGCGTACGTCATTACCTAGAACATCATGATCGACGTCTTAACCGTCATGAGAATTTTGGTTCATGTCAGAGTGGAAAAGCTGGAACTCTGCTTCGTATCAAGAGACACGAGATTCGTATGTAGACGTAGAAACGAGCTATCCTCACTGAAGCTTCCCTGGTTTTTCTCAGTTAGATGCCGGGCTACCACCAGGAATGCTTCTTTCCACACTCTCTCAATTGCCATTTCCCTAAACTGGTCTGTGGAAAACCGCGGACAGCTTTAGTAGTCATGTGAAGTTCCTCGAGGTTAGTTTTGGTAAAGTTGCAAACGTTTCTGCTGCATGTGGCGTCTGTCGACTTATGAAATCTTACAGGTCTCAATCGTCTTTATTCTGACACACCAGACCAGGGCCGGGTCGGAGATTAAGCCCCTATGATAATGTGTTGCTTGGTGGGAACCGCGTACCTCGTGGAGCGGCGACAGATGATGGTGCAACGATGAGATGATGACTGGCACTTTTTATTCCATGACACAGTGAGTTCTTGCTGGCTGGTAGGCACAACTCACCTACCGAAATAACTGACTATTCGCTTGAAGTCTCGGGTTCGATTCCCAGTAGGGAGGCAGGAATATTTATCTCTGCAGTCCATTACCGAATGAGTACCGAGGTCTAAAATGCATGGAGATTTTCATTGACGCCCCTACACGCTTTCGTAGCGTGGTGCACAGTTTTACCACTACTGAAAACTCTCACATCGCGAGTAACAATTCTGAACGTCTCTTTCTCCTCTGTGGTCTATTGGTATTTACAAAGCAACGCAAGATTCACCTGCGACACAACTTTTACTGTCCGTAATCTCCATAGGAGGGGAGGGGGCCTTCCTCCTCTCCACCCGACAGGGTTTATAAGTCGCCGTGATGGCTACAGAGCTCATCAGTTCGCCACAGAGAAGATCAGACGTAGCTGCTGCGCACACACTCAACATGAAAGTTTTAGTGGTAAGTGCAGACGAAGCAGGTTGGCAGGCCGCGTGTTTCGAACGTACAGTCCGAAAAGCGACGGAAATGCAAGCAACTTGTACGCGTTATCATAACAAACTGCATATACCTGTGTTGGTTTATTTAACGGCGCTTAGATTTGCTAGGATTATATTCTTTGAATGGCAGGACAATTAAAGAAAATTTATTTGAATATCCCAGCACGGCATTTGTTCCCGGGCTGAGTTTTAATCCAGGACTTCTTAATACGAAGCAGGATCGCGGTGACTTCAATGCGCGTAGTGGGGAGGGAGGCTATGGTGTTCGGACGATGAGGTGCTGGTGAGTAGGCCAACCGCATGGCACAGGAAGCTCACATCGAACTTCATAAAACACAAAAACGGCTGATTATTTAAAAAATTATGACATGAAGTATCGACGTCACAAAGATCTGCATATCACCACACGTGGGCGGCCACTGTAAATACCGCCCGTGCGAGTGACCGCTCTGGTCTTCACACGCGTACCATTTGCCACAGCCTCCAGGTGGCACTCGACGTCAGCTGCTCTGCGATTTATGGGCCGAAGTGTCTGGAGGGAGTAGTTCTAATTCATTCATAGAAGAGACATTATTTAACGCCATCTGTATTGCATGTTTGGGATGTTCGCCTGCTTCTACAGGCCAGTGTTACGTCACTTTTAAAAGGTTTTTTGAAATTGCTACAAAATACAAAATGTTTGTTCGTTCACAAACTTCACGTGTAGCAAAGCAGGGCCCTCTAAACTGTTTTCGGTTTGGCTACGCTTTCGGTGTCTCAAGACGAGGCCATTCGGGGTTACATCTTACAGAACGAGTGCAACCGAATCTAAACTTTGCAGCATCAGCCAAGGAAATACGCAGGTTGCCTGAATCAGACCAACACGTCGCAAGTATGAAAACTGTGTATGATGGGAACTTAAGCGACCCGACGCGAGATGTTACCAATAACGAACAGTCCAGTGGTTGGCAATCCTGCTTCTTATTCCAGACTTCTCGTGTTCTAATCTCGTCCCGCAACCGACTTATGCCTAAAAACAGGCCACTACCACTTCCTTTGGTTTCATCAAACCAAAGATCAGACTCTTGGTTCTGTAGCGGCGTTGCACGCCAGTAAGATTATTGTAGGTTAACTTAGGCTATGTTAGTTTAAGACACGTTATTTGCACAAGCCGTGACGTTCTTATCGACAGGCAGCGTGCTGCAAGTACAGTCAAATGTATCGCTACGACTAGGGACTTAGTCGAAAGCCTAACAAACTGGAGAATCTTAGGGACAGGCAATGTTCGTACAAGGAAACGAGCGAAGTTGCCTTTAAATGCGTCATTCAAACAAAAACGCGATTGTGTAGAATGCATTATGCTTAAATGGTCGCGTTGTTAAAGGGTCGTTCCAGTCCATGATTTCCACCACCGAAAATACTGAACGGATTTCAATAAAACGTGCTATGAAAACATTCGGCTGGTGTCCATTTTACCCACAGTACATCAGTACATGGCACAAATTTCAGTCAACTTTGCGTTTTTCAGAATATTTTACATTTAATTAAATTGAAGAAGAAAGTATTTACAGGCAAGCAAAAATAGATCGAGTCTGCAATAAACAAACATCGAGGCCCGTGAAGTAGCTACGCAGACGCCAAGCACCTGCTTGAACGTTCCTCCGCTGTCGTCTTAAAGGTTCCAGAAGTTTTAATTGTGATTTCAGCTACTAGGCTAATGTTTGACTGGACGGTTCTAAAAACCGAATAGGGCAAGAAGGCTATGAATGTTTTTCTATAAATACACGAGACGTAACACATGTCAAATCTGAAATAATTTTCCAATGCAAATGAAAATATTCGTTCTACTCACTTCGACCGCAAACTTCGCAGAATGGGAATTTGCGCCAGGGTCCGGTCACTCGCCATGCAGAAGTTTATGCATTTTTGACACCAGGTTCGTTCCTCGACTGCGAAGCACTGCAGAAGCAGATCGCATATTTTCGTAGCAATCGGGACTGCGGTTGCATATTTCACGACGTCGATTCGTGGTGCTTCCTCGGCTCAGTATTAGCTGATCGTGTGTCCCATGTAAATTTAGCCACGTTTCAAGTAAAGTAAAATGTTTGATCGAGGTTTTTTGGTAGCAGGCTCTACTTTTTGTCAAAATGCGGCCCTACAAGAAGACTGTTCCCTTTTTTTCACCCAAACAAAAGACGACACGAGAAGTTTATTTCAACAACAAAGCAAGGCCATTTAAATCCACAATTATTATTAACAAACTGCTAACCACGTTACGCCGGTCTCATACGTGTGATTTTTGTTTATATTTCATCACATAACATGTTGATAGTTAATTTTTTAATAACTGTAATTTCTGACATGTTACATGCAATATCGAATCATATTAAACTCATTTTTCAACATGATGTAATTGAATCACATATATTGAAATTATTTAAACTAGCACTTAAAGTGAAATTCTGGGTTGTCTTCTCAGATGTCGTTCGCACAAAATTATGGGATTAGGAATTAGCTCCCTGAAAGAGGCCGGTGCCCCCTCTTCTCGAATCTTCACGTATTATCGATTTTGATCATCTACCCATTTGAATCGACACTACATAAACTCTGCAATGAGCGAATTGCATAGCCTGAGCAAGCACTTTAGCTGACTCAGACGCCTGTTTCTGACCCCACAGCTCGTCGCGGCTGTAGCCGTGCTGGTGCGGGCCCGCCCGGAAGCTGGGTACCAATACTCGGCGCCGTCGAACACCTATGGA